ATCATTAATGTATATGAGGAAGAGCAGGGATCCAAGGACACTTCCCTGCGGAACTCCAGTATCAAGTGGCTGTATTGATGAGGCTGTGTCTTTAATGGTGACATACTGATACCTATTAGAAAGGTAGGATTTAAAATATGCAAGCGCATGGCCTCTTATACCATAGTGGTCAAGTTTGTGGAGTAGGATGCCATGGTCTACTGTGTCAAACGCTTTTCTTAGGTCAATAAAAATTCCTAGCGGATATTCCTTATTTTCCAATGCTGTGTAAAGCAGGTCTAGCATTTTTATAATTGCATCATTAGTGCTTTTATTTTTCCCGAATCCAAATTGGCAGGGGTTGAGTATGTTTTGTGGCGTTATAAATGAATATAGTCTCCTGTGCACGAGTTTCTCGAAGATTTTGGATAGCAATGGTAAGTTTGATATTGGCCTATAGTTGTTTACGTCCGTAGGGTCACCACCTTTATGTATTGGTGTAACCCTTGCTGTCTTGAGTAGTGTCGGGAAAGTGCTAGTTTCTAGTTTCTAGCAAAAGGACATGGGCCGCTTGCTTGTACAATAATGGTGGGACGTGAGACAGATTCCCCCGAGTTATTTTTAAGTGACTTTATGATCGCGGTGACTTCCGTGGGCTCAGTTGGTACAAGATAGAAGGAATTTGGGAAATTCCCATCTAGGTAGTCCCCGGCACGGGCATTGGTACATGGGATTTTACTGGCGAGATTATATCCTATGTTTGAGAAGAAGTCGTTTATCTTGTTAGCTGTATCAGTGGGATGCAGTGGTGTTTCCATGAGGTTTAGTTAGAACAATATTCTTGTTTTTTTTCAGTTTGTGGGTCCCCAGAATCTGGGAAAGTGTTTTCCAGGTCTTTTTTGTATCTCCTCTTGTGTCAGTAAATCTGCTGGAGTAGTACAGTTGTTTGGCTTTCTTTATTAATTTGGTGAGAACTGTTGAATATTGTTTAAGAATATCTTTGTGTATTAACCCCTGTCTATACTGCTTTTCATATTGGTGTTTTTCATCAATGGATTTCAGAATGCTGCTGGTTAGCCATGGGCAGCCAAGCCATTTATTTGTGATGTTTCGTTTTTATAGGAGAATGTTTGTTGTATACTCTAAGTATTTTGTTAAGAAAAATGTCTGTCCAATCGTTAATACCATTGGCATTGGAGAATTGTGTAGGCCAGTCAACAGTCTCTAGGTCTGCTGTGAAATTCCTTATTGAGGCCTCGTCATGGAGTCTAAATGAAACTTTGTTGTATTCGAGTGGTGGCTTACTAATGTTTGTTAAGAGGAAGGTTGGGTAGTGGTCAGTAGTGCTGTCTGTGATTATCCCTGATTTAAGGGGGGCTAGTATATTGGTCCACATGTGGTCTATTATGGTTGCACTTGTCTCAGTCAGCCTGGTTGGTTTAGTTATTGTTGTTATGAGGAGTGTGTTGTTCATATGGTTAATGAAATCAGTTACAGTCTGATCATCTGGTAGGCCAAGGTTGATATTGAAGTCTCCAGCTAAGAGAAGGTGGTGCTTGTTCATTTGTCTGTTTGTTATTAGTGACTTTAGATTCTCACTGAAGTTTGGGATGTTTGTGTGGGGTATCCAGTATATGGCACCGATTGTTATAGGCGTCTTGAGGATTTTACAGTAAAATTAGCAAAAATGTATTCCCCATATTCATCACTAAAGCAATTAGTGCTAATACAAGATAGTTGGTTAGAGTAATAGATTGCAGTACCACCCTCAACTTGGTATGGTCTGCAGTTGTGGATTGCTGTGTATCCTGGTAGTGGGTAGATATCAATTGTGTCCTGCTTAAGCCAGGTCTCAGTAAGAATAATGCAGGAGAAGGGTGTCTTTAGTGACTTAAGGAGTGCCAGGGGGTCATCATAGTGTTTGCTTAACGACCTGATGTTGTAGTTAAGAACTGATAGACTTTGAGCAGTGTTCAGGATAGTGCTGGCTTGTGATGCTTACAAAACAGAGATTGCAAATACTACTTGAAGATGTGGAGAGACTGTTGTTGGTGTGGCTTAACGAGAAACAATTATCCGAGAAACAATTAACCCCAGAGGGTTAACCACCCAGGAAAACCCATGAAAGTCGGTGTGTCATCGAGGACTGTAACTTATTTCCATTGGGGTCCTTAATCTTGTCCCCCAGGATGCGACTCACACTAGTTGATTAACACCCAGGTGAACAGGAAAAAATACCTGGAACTAGTGCTCATATTGGTGAATTTAAGGCCAGCAAAGGTTTGTTTGAGAAATTTAAGAATCGTTGTGGCATACACAGTGTGATAAGGCATGGCGAAGCTGAAAAATTCCAACCCCATCAAGTGTTCAATTGTGACGAAACAGGTCATTTCTGGAAGAAAATGCCAAACAGGACCTACATTACTCGGGAGGAAAAGGCATTCCCAGGACACAAGCCTATGAAAGATAGGCTAACTCTCATGTTTTGTTGTAATGCTAGTGGGGATTGCAAAGTGAAGCCTTTACTCATGTATCACTCTGAAAATCCCAGTGTGTTCAAGAAAAAGTATCTCATCACTCATCAATACTCTTCAATAAAGGTGTCATTTTAGTATTTATTTATGTATTTATTCTGCATGTCTCATTGTTTTCTGTGTAGGGAAATGTATACTTCATGCGAAAATTTTTTTTTTTTTAATACTTTTGGGTATCTAGAACGGATTAATTGGATTTCCATTATTTCTTATGGGGAAAATTAATTCAAATAACGATAAAATCGGTTAAGGACAAGCTCTCTGGAAAGGATTAATATCGTTAACTGAGGGTCCACTGTATTTCTCATGTTCCAGAACTGTTTTTCTTTACTTAGGGCATACCTTATAGAACATTCTGGCAGGATGACACTACCAGTGGTATCACAATTGAAAGAATGTTACACACTGGTTATTATCGAGGTTTTTGATATTTCCTCAGTATCTCCTGCGAGTGGCAGCGTATCTGAAGCTCGCTTGTAACTCAGATTCTGGCTTGCAAATAAAAGCAAAAAATCGAGCGAGGTATGGCTCGTAACTTGGAAAACTCGTAAGGTGGGGCATTCATAAGTCAAGGCACCACTGTATTCCCCTAACAGCTACATTACACCCATCATAAAAACTAAAAAACAATATCGAAGAAGTTTAACATTTTAATGCAGACTGAATGTACAGTGGTACCCTGAGTTTGGGCCATAATTCATTCCTGAAGGCTGTTCGAGTGCCGTTACCCAACGAATTTGTTCCCATCAGGAATAATGTAAAATAGATTAATCTGTTTCAGACCCCCAAAAATACACTTAAAAAAGCACTTACAATAATACACTTACATAACTGTTCGAGTTGGGAGCTGTATGAACCTCGGGGTACTACTGTATTTATGCACTTACCAAAGTAGTGGAACTCCGGATTCCGTACTTAATCTGTTCCAGAAGGTCGGTTTAAATCCGAAACGTACGAAAACCTAAGTAATATTTCCCTTAAGAAATAATGTAAATACAATTAATCCGTTCCAGACACCCAAAAATATAAAAAAAATACATTTTTTAAAGAATACTTATAGTTTTACATGCAGAAAATGATGAGAAATAAATATAAAGCACTAATGAAATGGATAAATGAACATTTAAATCACCTTTACATACCTTTATTGAAGACTCTTGTTGGCCTTAAGTTCACTAACAGCAGCACTTGTTCCAGGCATTTTCTTTATGAGATCCGCATGCAACTGCCTCGCCTTTTCGCAAATGATCAACTCCACAACACTACCTCCTGCTAACCGTTTTTCGTTGATCCACACAAACAACAACGTCTCCACATCTTTGATTGTTTGTGATCTCTGTTTCGTTAGCATATTTACCCCTTTTGCAACTTTAGCATCCTTGATTTGTACTTTCTTTGCCAGGATGGAACAGATTGTTGATTCTGACTTCCCATACATCCTGGCAAGTTCAGCTAAATGTACGCCACTTTCACATTTTTCTACAATCTTTCTTGAATTCTACTGTGTTTCTCACCTTTACCAAAGGGGGCACTAGGAACTTTCTTTGGGCCCATGGTGGCTTATTTTGCAGTTGCACTCAACAGTCAAGTGAAGTAATGCTCACTCGACCAGTGACAGAGCCAGACTGAGACACGTATGCATGAGTGATGGTGTCCCGGGGGGGGAGGCGGACACTTCTGATACATACGATTTCCGGGTGGAGGTACGAAATCCGGACCAAAATTTCTCCCAAAAAAGTGGTCTAAATCCAAAACGTACAATATTCAGCAAGTATGAAATCAGGAGTTCCACTGTATAACCCAAATAATTTTACTTATAATCATGTACAATAATATTTATTCTACTTACATATGCATTCATTAAATACCTATTTGAATACATTTAATACCCTTAAATATATACTTGTAATGTTTGCTGCCCATGTAGTGTTAAGTTAGGCTTCAGCTTGCCTGAAATGCTCCACATAACCATGCAGCGCTGTATGACGCTTCTGGGTTTAGTGCTTAGTTCTGATTGTATTATTATTACTCTGCATAACCATGGACTTTCTGCATGCAATTGTCACCCATTTCTGTATAAACTTTGTATCATGTGGAAATAAACCAAGTACCCAAAGATACTGGCACTAAGTAATTTTATCTAGGCACAGGTACAAATACAATTTTCATACATAGGTTAAATTACCTAGGATAACCCTCAAAAGAAAGTCAAAATTACTTATTTCCACCTGGGTTTATGGGGTCTCTGGCTTCCTCATACAGGCAGCACGTCTAAGTAAAAGAATACTCATCATCATTGACATTACTGACTCAACTCTGCGCTTATAACAGTCCCCAAGTCAGGGCATCGCTAATGCCAGATCATCACATAACAACCAGTGTAAATATGCCGGCATTGTTTATGTAGACTCAAGGTTGGAGCCACAGCACTGGAGTCAAACACTCCCAACATTACGTCTTTCCGGGTTGTTGACACTTCTAACCTACCTTATACTCTTGCCCACAACTTCTCTCTATATCGCCCTCCCTGAAAGTCTCTCTCGTGGGCGACATGGTGACTATTGCATCTGTAATTCTCTCCTGTGTGTTAGTGTTCGTCCTGTTTGTTTTGCTTCGCCTCGTAAGTCACCTTAGATCCACAATAAATTTCTTTGAATTTTTTTTGTAAATAATCTTTTTATACTTTGTTAGATCATTTCTAAAATAAAAACAAGACTTGTGCTTAATTTATTTCCTGGATTATTTTTAAAATATGTTTGAAATAGACAGAAATGAAATGTTGGTGAAATTGGCGCGAATTTCTTTACGAATGGTCAGGTAAAGGTCCCCCAGAATTTTCAGGCCGCCAGCGACGACCATAGATACATAAATATATAGCCAATAATAATATTTATTTCTAAAACTTTCTACGAATATATGATACGAAACTAGCTGACATTACTGATATACTATATGCAGACTATTTCTGGCTACTTTCATGTTTAGTTTGTCCCCCAGGATGCCACCCACAACAGTCGACTAAATTCAAATTATTTCAGCATGATACAATGTTTGTACAGAGATGGGTGACTTTCAGGTGTACATGCACAAAGCCCTTAGTATGCAGAGCATGTCGGGCAAACTGAAGCCTATTTTAAGACTATAAAGGTACCTACCTACAACTACGTGAAGACCCGTGTGGGTCTAGAGCTTAGTTTTTTATTGTTGTAATAATAACTGCTAGGAGAACAGGGGCAATTGTAAAGAAACATACCCAATGTTTCACCCGTGCTGGAATCGATTCCCGGACTCTCAGTGTGAGTTGATGATGATGAAATACTCTCAGGTAAGACCCGTGCGGGTGAAAATGAGAGAGTTGGACAGGGGAAGAGTAGTGGGTGAGAGAATGGTTTTAGGGTGAGGAAAAGAGCCAGGGCTAAACCCAGCTGCGTAGCAGTATGAAGCTTGATTGAGGGGCTGGTTGCTGGGCAAGGTTGAGCGTCGGAGATGGCATACAAGAGGACTGGGCTTGGCGTAGGCGTAGGAGGCAAGGGCACATGGGCGGTGGCGCCGTGTCACAGCTGGTTATGTATGCTATAGTCTGCCTCTCGGAATGCATGTGGTGGAGAGAGGGAGGCACAGTGGTCGGCGAAAAAACAAAAGGACGTCGTTAAAGGTCCACACCTGCAGAGGGCAAGAAAGGGTTTAGACTTTAGAGGATAGATTTAGGTGCAGAGAGGAGGCGGGTCAGCGTTGTAGAGGGACTGGAATAGGTTTAGTGTTTCCAGGTCGTCTGATGATTTCATCGAGGAAGTTTGTCCAGGTGTCTTGGTAAGTTTCGAGTCGGTCAATTTGTCTGTCGCTGAGTTTCTTCCAGAACACATTCAATGCAGGAGTGCCAGTCCTAACGTGGAGAGACTCGCTGGTAGCAAAGTCATCCCACCTCACTCCTAGCACCCACCGAAGAGCACGATTCTGGATTCGCTGCAGCTTTTGGACGTTTGTTTTGACGGCGAAAAGCCGAGAGGTGTATAAGAGAGAAGAGGACGGATGAGAGCCTTGTACAGATGGAGCTTGGCGTGTGGGTTTGAACCTCTGAGCTTGTACAGTCGCCCTAGGGCAGAACTGGCCATAGCTCTTTAGGCATTTATGTGGGTGTGTAGTCTGAGTCTGGAGTCTAGGTTTACACCTAGGACTGTGGTGCTGTGTGTTCTGGGGATGGGTGTTCTTGTGGTGGTGGTGGTTCTGAGGTGGACAGGTAGAGGCGGGCGTCCTTTTGGGAAGAAGTAGGTGTCAGGTAAAGACCCACAAGATATAGCTAATGTTTTAACACTGGAACTGGAGTCCTGCAGCAAATGGTTAGTAGACAACAAACTATCATTATACCTCGAGAAAACTGAAGCCATTCTCTTCGGTACGAAACATAAACTGAGAAGGGTAAATAATTTTAATGTCCAGTATAATGGGGAGCCCATCACTTTGGTTTCATCAGTAAAATATCTGGGAATCCCCTTTGACTCATGCATGTCAGGAGAATTGATAGGGAACAGTGTAGTAAAGAAAGCGAATGCCAGACTGAAGTTTAGTAAGTAAGTAAGTTTATTCAGGTATACACAAATACAGTTACATAGAATTATCATACATAGCAGCATATGTGTAGAGAACCTAGGATAACCCAAAAAAGTCAGACAGTGACTTATTTCCATTGGGGTCCTTTTACCTTATTATTATAGTATAAAGGTTATAATATTTTCTTATTATTCTACAATGAAGATAACATCTTATTATCATACTAAAAAGACTATCTGCTACACCAAGGTCATTAAGACTATCTACAATACGAGGGTCATTACAAGGAATAAGGTAAAATTTACACGTATGTTAGCTAAAAAATAGAAAATCATTCACCTCCCTTTCTGTAGCTACATTCATCAGACACCTTTTGGCACTCTTCTTGAACTGGTTCACGCTATGACTGGCTTTGACATGTGCGGGTAGTCTGTTCCATTCCTTTATTGCTGTACAATAAAAGGTGTTTGAAGCCTGGCCACTGACTGTGGGTACTACAAAGTTGTGCTCTCTCCCCCTAGTACTATGATTGCTTTGGTTCCCAGTTTTTAGTTTAATATGTTTATTATGCACCCCATACCCATCCTGTGGGCGGTAGTCAAAAGATTACAGAGGTACATAATTGGTCCAGGGACTGGACTCCAAAGTTTTGATAGCTGAGCAAGTTACAATGGTAATGAACTAGATCTGGTCATAATCATGACCAAGTTACAAAGGTAATGAGCTCCAGGTAGAGCTGGTCACACTCATGAATAATTGCAAAGGTAATGAATCATAAACACATTAATCATGAGAATTTACAAAGGTAATGAGCTCCAGGTAGAGCTGGTCAAAATCATGACAAGTTTCAAAGGTAATGAATGATAAACACGTTATCACATGATTACAATCATAGACAAATTACAGAGTAATGAGCAGTTAACAAACATAGCAGGGAATTCATCCATTGCCCCAACAACAGATGTTGCTAGGTGCCTGTCTCTCCTCGGTAGACAGCCATTGCAAACAGCAGCAAGTTGCCCTGGGATCTGCTGCTTGCACGAGCACCATCGACCCTCCCCAAGAGGTCCAAGAAGCCAGTGACTCCGTTAACAGCCCGATGGAGAGCTCCCCTAGGGACATGTCAGCGTCCTGGTGGACGCCAAGTTGATTGAAGATCCCAGGCCCTCGTGTGCACGGATGTTGAAGCTTGAGGAACTGAGTACACACTGCCTGTGGCACACCTGACAGCTGCCTCGCGGTCGAACTCCACGATGCTGTCCCTGTAGTGGAAGTTCCTGTGAGCCCGGCACTCCCTGCAGTGCCATCGCTGACATCGTGGGTTAGGGGAGAAGTACCCTCTACAGATGGGGTGGCGCTGGGAGTTGGGTGGGTGAGGCGGGGGAGACGGGCAGGGGTGAGGCGTTATGAGAGGGTCACTGTTTACTACACACGCCCTCCCCCTCCCCCCCAGCGGAGAAGGGGGGAGGCGCTGACTGGTCCTGACTCGACAACACCAAATCCTCTGAAACTGCACAACACTTCAACTATTTACGCTGAAACGATGCACTGGGATGTCCGTTCGCTGCTCTGGTATCTTCTCAAAGCATTCACACTGAGTTCTGTTAAGTAGGGACCTGGTCAGCCTCTTTGACCAGGAGCTAACCTTGAAAATCCCGCAGCTAGCCCGCTACACAACCTGCCGTGTCGGCCATGTTGAGCCCGCGTTTTTGTTTCCAAACCTTGACAAAATTGACAGCAAGATATTCTGGACATTGTTTGTGAGCAATTTTATAAACATGATTTAGCTTCAGTTGTTTTACTCTGTCTTCAACATTCAGCATATCCAACTGCTGTAATTCATCCTGGCCTACATGTTCTCTTGGTCCCAGCCCCAGGATGAATCTTACGATTTTGTTCTGGGTGATTTGCAGTCTATCTTTCAGTTTTTTTGTCAAGGCAGAGTACCAAGAAGAGCAAGCGTAATCCATATGGCATTGTATAAGGGCTAGACATAGGGTCCTGCGAGCCTCAGTAGGTAGACACTGTGCTTGTCTATACAGGAACTTCAGTTTGGCATTCGCTTTCTTTACTACACTGTTCCCTATCAATTCTCCTGACATGCATGGGTCAAAGGGGATTCCCAAATATTTTACTGATGAAACCAAAGTGATGGGCTCCCCATTACATTGAACATTAAAATTATTTACCCTTCTCAGTTTATGTTTCGTGCCAAAGAGAATGGCTTCAGTTCCTGTATAGACAAGCAGTGTCTACCTACAGAGGCTCGCAGGACCCTATGTCTAGCCCTTATACAATGCCATATGGATTACGCTTGCTCTTAATGGTACTCTGCCTTGACAAAAAAAAAAACTGAAAGATAGACTGCAAATCACCCAGAACAAAATCGTAAGATTCATCCTGGGGCTGGGACCAAGAGAGCATGTAGGCCAGAATGAATTACAGCAGTTGGATATGCTGAATGTTGAAGACAGAGTAAAACAACTGAAGCTAAATCATGTTTATAAAATTGCTCACAAACAGTGTCCAGAATATCTTGCTGTCAATTTTGTCAAGGTTGGGAACCAAAGCAATCATAGTACAAGGGGGAGGGAGCACAACTTTGTAGTACCCACAGTCATTGGCCAGGCTTCAAACACCTTTTATTGTACAGCAATAAAGGAATGGAACAGACTGCCCGCACATGTCAAAGCCAGTCATAGCATGAACCAGTTCAAGAAGAGTGCCAAAAGGTGTCTGATGAATGTAGCTACAGAAAGGGAGGGGAATGATTTTCTATTTTTTAGCTAACATGCGTGTAAATTTTACCTTATTCCTAGTAATGACTCGTATTGTAGTCTTAATGACCCTCGTGTAGTAGATAATTAAGGCCCTCGTGTAGTATATAGTCTTTTAGTATGATAATAAGACGTTATCTTCATTATAGAATAATAAGAAAATATTATAACCTTTATATTATAATAATAAGGTAAAAGAACCCCAATGGAAATAAATCACTGTCTGACTTTTTTGGGTTATCTTAGGATCTCTACACATATGCTGCTATGTATGATAATTCTATGTAACTGTATTTGTGTATACC